CGGCACATCGTAACAGCGCCGTCACTCCTAAAACGTTGTCATTAACGTGGCTTCACGCCACATCAGCCGCTTTGCTAAAACAGCGGCGTCGGCACATGAGGACGCCGTCAGAGCCCGTCAACCACGTGGATTAGCTGCGTATATACGAATGTGGATCGCGTGATTGGCTGGAGCAGCCAGTCACTGACTGCAAAAGTGAATCTTTACGTGTTTATTTTAATTTCAATGCAGGTCAGATTTTTGTGTGTGCAGAGACGGTGCAGCAGTACGTGATCGCACCTGCACGCAGCTCAGAGGGAACATTAGTGATGAGTCCTCCCACCGGTCACGTGGGAGACGGGGGTTTGACTCCCTGACTGTGTGGGAGTGGCCTGAGTGAAGAGGGTTACTCAGATTGACGGGTGGGCAGAGATGTCAAACGTGCGGCCTGCGGGCTGAAGAAGGGACGGGGGCAGACGTTCTCAGACAGCAAAGGCCTCCATCAGCACGTTTCGTGTGATGAGCATCAGGGCTGAGTGCAGACCTGCTGTTATTGGCTAAACCTCGTGTGCGTCACGCATAGACGGGGGTTCGACTCCCCGACAGGCAGCTGTGCAGGTTTGAATCGATCAGTGAGAGACACGTCTCACATGAACGATCCCTCTGTGTCACATCTACGTTGTAACTCAGTGACCAGGACACATTTCAGACCCAGACGTGAACCCGGCGCGGACCTGAGGAACGTAACAACACGTCAGGCCGTCACGACCGTGGAGGATGTTTCCTGATGTGAGCTGAGACGAGTTCTCACAGAAGTCTAAATCAAGCTTTATACGACGAGCCGTCATCAAAATGATGAAACAATAAATAAAAATGTAACCGTACACAAACCAGTCAGTGCTGCACAAACAAATATAAAGCTCGAGCAGCGAAACAGCGCCGGGGTTCCCGCTGTGGTCAAAGGTGGTACTGCAGTGTGTGAGACGCTACGACCTCCCACAGGAAGATGTTTTTATTTTAATGAAACATAAAAATGAAACAAATTATTTCCTTTTTTTCATTTCTGGAGGCTGAAAAAATCTTTCTTTAAAATATTTGTCATGAGTCCAGCTGCAGATATTTCTTACAGCGGGCGGCTGGGCTGTCAGAGATGACAAAGGGAAGTGAAAGCGTCCAGGGTGTAGTCACAGGAAACAGCCTCCATCAGCTGCTGCAAACAGGAAACCATGGTGACCGCCGCTCTCCAACCACGCGACAAACTGCTCTGTGGTGATGCTGATGGTGTTCCTCCCTCACACGTGTAGAAACTGTGAACTCTCACGTTTAGAGATAAACTGACCCTCAGATCTCAGGTTGCATCACTCACAGTCACATCCTGGTAACAATGCTGTCATGGCCGACATCACTGGTCCATTCAAAGCGCGGCAGTGAAACAAACATCTGTCAGGGGTTTCTCCACCCAGCAGCAGGAAGTCAGACACAAGGAACAACACAGGATCAGGACCTTTCAAAATAAGAGAACCAGTGGCCTGTGCTGGGTTAGATCTGCATCTCTGGTACACAGTAGCTCCACTGTGCTGATGCTAAAACCAGACGTCCCATGACAGCACAAACACCCCGATGAGTCAGACTGCTGCCACCACCGTGCTTCACTGTGGGGGCGTGGCCTCTGCCGTCTTCCTCCAACCACGAGCAGCGTCTCAGCTCGTCTGGCTGAAGGACGCTTCAGCCCGCAGGATCTTTGTCCCGGTTGTCCTGGCGTCTGTCCTGCTCACCTGAGACCTCTCAGTTTGTTCCTGTCCACGGTCCAGTGACGTCTTCTTTAGGACTAAACCCCCACAAGTGTCTCTGCAGTAGTTCTGGACTGTTTGCAGACTCTGAGGCTGCGTCCACAATGAAACACGTTTTTGTTTAAAAACAGCGTTTTGTCCTCCCGTCCACACTGAGACGACGTCTTCCTCAAGGAGAAACGCAGCGTTTTGAAAACGAGTACATTTCAAAACGGAGCTGTCCCGTCGCAGTGTGGACGCTCGAAAACGCAGACTTTCTAAAACGATGACGCATTTTAGTCATGTGATCATAAATCATCACATATGGTCTGTAAAAGCCAAAGTAGTGTAAGTAATCAGAGTAA